GTTCAGTTGGTAAGGTTCAGCATCCTTATACCATGCCTCAAAGGGTTTTTCGTAGTTTAGTGTCTCCATTTCCTCAGAAGATCATAGAATGCTTAAAGTCAAACATGCATTTTTGGGCCTATTTCTCTGGCATCCATGATCTCAAAAAGTTGAACAGATTAACTGCGTTACTCTAGCTTTCCAATGGCCTTCATCAATTAAATTACATCAATGTATAAATGAATCGATAAATGAATGAATGAATGAATAAATGAATGAATGAATGATTGAATGAATGAATGAATGAATGAATGAATGATTGATTGATTGAACTTTGTTAACCATAGAATTAAAACAGTTCAACACTTATTTACATTAAAGCTGTGTTAATTAAATTAACAAACCATCCTTCTAAAACATCCAAGGTCATCAAGACAAGTCCCTGGCCCTGCCTAGTGACATTTTAGGACCTATTTTACAAGACTGTTCGGACGCCCAGAGCGTTGTAGTTCAACTACGAAAGAGACTGCAGCTAGACCGTTCCTCTTTGCAAAAGCCAGATCTTGAGACAAGGAGATGGATCCGTTCCCTGGCAGGGGAGGCGAAGCATTCAGACAGACTTGATGTTGTCAAATACCTGAGGGAAATTGTACCAGCTGGAACCACAGGTAGGTATGCTACTGACATAGCTAGTGAGTGACATAAACGATGTGTTTAAATCCCGCGGACGATTACGACTTGTTTTTTACCCTTTCCTATTCCTTTTACATTTTTTTCTCTTCTTTGATTAATAAATGCATGCGTTTATAACAATAAACCATTTACCGGCGCTTATCTTTCTGTTCCTTATCTTTTAAAACCGTGATCATCTGAAGCTCTTGATCATTCAGCAATTCGTAGTAAATAAAGCCTAAATTTTTTCGATTTCAAACCCAAACTATGCTAGCTCTACAACGCATTTTCTCGCGCCCTGAATTACCACCAGTGTTGCGTAAGTTTACGAAGAAAAAGCCTTGAGGATCTTTCCTTAGAACCGAATATGGTGAGTCAATATTTGTAACCTGTGTCCTGATGCAGTCAGTCGATACAATCTACCTATATCAGACCTGAGTAGAGCCGCATGCTTTTCAACTTCCATTGGACTGGTTCACCAAAGAGAGATTAAAGAAGAAAAAAAAAAAAAACACACACACACACACACACGCACACAAAGTTGACCGTATAAGCGATATAAGAAAAAGAAACGTCACCACTTTAAAACTACCATATTGACTTTGGAACGCAAGCGAATGCGAAAGCTATGATCGACATTGTCAAAATATTCTATTGATTTAAATTTGTCCCTCAACAGGCCCACTTCTGGATAATCTTCTTGATGTTCGAGAGATTCCTGGTCCTCAGATAACGGACCTAGCAGTGCATTTGTGTGGTAAGGTTTAACATCTTTACTATTCGTATTGGTAATCGTCAGAATATGAGTGCGATTTGCGCTACTGGTGATTTGAAAGTTCTCTCAAAACTGAAGTTTCAAATCGCAAGTAATGCAAATCTTTAATTGCTCGAGCTTTCACATGATTACTTATTTAGTTGTGAGAAAAACTATAAACGGGTTAATGGACTTGCGGTGGGGTAAATATGCCTGCTCTCAACCAATCCCAGCAAAGGGATTTTCTCAGCCACACCTACCGGAATGGGAAGTTTATGTGCCTTGTGAGTAGCGTAACGTTTCTTGGCTAAACACTTCCGTGTTGGTCATCAACATAGGGAGATAATGTGTTTGCCTGGATGAAAGTTTCTTTGCTGTGATGTTTTGCTAAGGTTTCGACAAAGCATGGAGAGGAAATCGTCTTGGAAGAACAAGATATTTTACGTCATGCCTCGTCATGACTGCGCGTCAACATATCAGAGGGGTTTCCCATTCGTCATTTGGCTGGACTTGATAAATTACCTTATTTTGCAGACATGACAAACACAAACAAACGGGAATGTTTTTCTTGAATGTGTTTGGTTGTCGGTTTGGCTAAATTTCATCCGCATACAGTCTTGTTTTATATAAGAATATACTTTATATAAACATCGAGGCTGAAATTCTCGAAATTTTAAGAATATTTTAAGAATAAACCCGAGGCTGAGATTTTGAAAAGATTATAATCTGTGCGTATTAAATTCTCCCTTTCTTTAAACGGCAAAACTAGCCGTATGTTCGATGCTAATAGCATTTCTGCAAGAAGTTATGTGCGTCCTACAAGGCTTTGTTGCCTGCAGGCTAGCTTTAAAATTACTTTAACACCATTCAGACACCAAATACATTCGAAAACAGAAATGTCATACGCTATAACCTAAGAATATTCACAGGAATATTTTCAGCCTAAAATCGACAGAAAAATAAGAATATTCAGCCTCGACCGGAAAAAAATATTCTTACAAAAACAAAAGAGTGTGGTCAGGTTAATTCTCTCTCCTGACGGAGACCTGTGTTTTTTTTACTGAGCTTTGGATGGTTTAAATGTTTCAACAGGGGGAGACGAGTGGAAATTGGTTGCCGAACGAATAGGTTTTAATCAAGCATACATCCGTTGCTTCGACAACCGCTTTCGTAACCCATTGGAAGCTGCGTTGAGTTGTTGTGATTTGACCGTGGGTCAACTCTATGACATCTTGGTCGAATGTGGGTTACCTGTGCTTGCCGACTTCCTATAGGAATGGCATTTGGTTAGTTCCTATTAGGTTAATTTTCTATAATAGTTAGGTTACAATAGGATAGTGAACTGAAATAATTGTATATAGCCTTGGCTTACTTAGTTTCATATCTAGCAGTGTTATCAGTGGCTATCAACCCACATATGAGTTAGTTTAACACTGTTGGGAGAAGGGAATGCAACTCGACAAGGGAATCTTATTTCAGTGCAGAAGAGAACCATCGAACATAGCAAAAGGCAGCTGCTAACAGCATCTTGATATTGAAGAAAATCTCAAAACGGTATTGCTTTCTTAGGTAGAAAAAATGTTAAGCTTAAAGAACAAGGATGGGTAAGATAAGGAAAGATTAAAACTGATTAGAAATATTTTAATTGGATTGTTGTCCGGGCTAAGACTTGTGTAATACGAATTGAAAAAAATTGAATTGGTAAGATACTGATTAATTAAAGGGACACAGTCAGCTTTGGGACCGCGCTGACCTGGACACTAGTTTTCTCATTTTGAAAAAAGTTCACCTCAACCTGAAATCAAAGTTCATCTAGAAATCCGCTTTCATCTTCACAGTGTTTTGCTTGATTATCAATCGTTTACTGAATAGCCTGGTTTTGAGTGTGCTTTTGTTCATTCTATGATACTATTTTTATCATATTTGGTTAAAAACAGTATGGATCACGTCTCTGTGATATGCAAATTGGCTATGAAATGGCATCTAATGCGCATGTGCTCCAGCTGACTGTGTCCCTTCAACTGAGTAAACGAAAGTTATTTGTCAACAGTTTCAAGGTGTAAAGAAATATATAGAGATACCGCACGGATAGCTTAGATTGGTTAACATTGTACACTTAATTACTGGTTTAAAGGGAAATAGTTTTATTTTCCTGAGAATCTTGATCGAGATTCGAGTAAGTGTTGGCCGAGAGGTAAACGTTACAAACTAAGAGGAGAGAACTCAAGTAGGGAATTGTATTTTCACTTGAGAGATATTGCATCAAAGGCGAAAAAACCCAGCTTAATTCAAAGAAAGAAGTAGACACCCTAAAAATATAGTTTTGTAAGGTACAAAACGTTTAACGTTATAACTGAACATTGACTTGTAATGTTGGGGATCTAATTACCGACCAAAGTAGAGAATAAGTATAAGCTAGTAAACTTTAAAAGTAGGTTCAGATTATACCATATATTAAAAAAAACTAAATGGCTCTCAAGCAATAAATCGATCAATCGTTTGCTTTTAGAAGACGTAATTCAAATGGAAAATGTCTCGACTTGGGTACAATTTCATTGCATTTTCTTAAATTGTTATCATCAATGCTAGATAGTCTATTAAGTGTACTTAGTATACGAAGGTTACGCTATTTTTCGATATACATTAAAGAAATTTTTTGTTTTCCGTTTTCTGAATTTATTTTCCCAAATGATCTATGGTTTTAGTATTGCATGTTTAAGCTTCAAAACTACAACCCTTACTCGTGCGGCCGAATGTGGAATCGCCAAATTGAAATCTGTGTGAATTTCGCGGTGTGGCAACTGATTTTCTTGTACTTACTTCTTTGAAAAAGGAAATCCGTCGTGGACAAATGAATGAATTCTCCTATTTTTTGTTAGACTTGCTACAAGTTGACCTTCGCTTAGTCATTCCTCGAGCGAAGCGAGAGGCAGAAACCTTCGCTCAGTCTCTCGCGAAGCGAAAGGCAGATTGAGCAACAAAGGCGCGAGCGCGAGCGACGAAGTCACGAGAGGTCGACTTGTTTTACTTGCAGGGAAGTCAGTCTGAGCTTTCAATTTTTGGCGCGAAAAACATGATTGACATTTCTCAGATTTCACGTGTTCCGCGCGCGATCCTCTCGAAGGGAGAAAATGGCGGAGGTGACGCCGACCAAAACGTTTTTGAGAGTTGTTGTGTCCCCGAACTCGAAAGAAGTTGTTTATATCCGGTGCGGAGAATTTGTCAACAATGTTGACAGACGAAGAAAACTGTTTCATTTAAAATCTCCACCTGAAAAGACACAAGCCTGTTTAAACCTCGAGAGAAACTAACATTGGAAATGAAATATTATTGGAAAGGACTTTTAAAAAGTCTTTTATGTAGATGCCCACGAAAACCATTAATTGTTATCCGCCAGTTGTTTACTGGAAGACAACCCAGAATAAAAGTGAGATAACCAAGCTGGAATAATGGCCACGAGAGTGGCAATATATTGACTAAAATAACTTTAGTGACAGCTTAATTACCAAAAACTCGACCTTGATTTTGAGCTGTTATTTCGTCCGTCGTTGATTTTCAAATGTGACCCGTCTTCCAAGGTGATCTTCCTTTTAAATTGCGTCTTCGTTTTTAGAGATAAGTCCTTTACTGTGTAACCAGTTTTGTGACAAATTGTAGTTAAAATGTCTTTTAGGGTAGTTAGCTTTCGGACATACCGAGGAACATATGAAGCTAATAAAGTATGCAAGATAACTCCTGTCAAGTTGCAATTTTTCACTGGGACGCGAAGTTTTTGCTTATGTACATATATATGTAGGACAGGGTGTGATTTTGAATTTTTACCATGTACGACAGCAAAATTGCGAACAATGCCTGGACAATCTTAGTAGTATGCTAAGTAAAATGAGGGCGTCCCGCAGTAATTTAGCAATAGGACGGAAACGTCAGATGACGACTGCAGGGCGCGCGGAATAACCTGGATTCTGTTCTAATTTGACCATACGTCTCAAACAAATCCTATTGGCTGATAAGTGCGCGCGCATTAATTCCCTTTGTTTTTGTCACAATACATGTCGGTAGATTTGTCAGTAGAAGAAGATGTACTATTGTGGGTAGTCTCAAGGCTCTGGATTTTATTGCCTTAGTTGTTAAATATGAGTTGACTGGAGACGGAAATATAAGGAAAGAGAGAATAAGTGGTGTGGAACGTGCGGTTAGTTTTTGTTTTCTGTTGGTTGATCTAGTTTTTACCGGTAACAGAATACGTACTTTGGACAAATTGATCTTGATCTTGTATTTGCAGAGAAGCAAATTATCTTTTTTAAAAGGAGTCTTAGAGTGATTTACAGTATATTACTGTACAGTGAATCACTGTACAGTCAGTACAAACATTTTCTATACACATCACCCTAAGGAGGACAATATCAAAACAAGCATGAACAACGCTTTGATTTCATTTTGTTTCATAAATTTTACCTCTGCTGGTAAATGTGGTTCAAGTTTATTTACAACATCTATGAGAATATTTATGCTAATTGACGAATTAAGTGCAAATCAGATAACTTGAACTTCAAAACGATTGTTTTTAGATCTGGGATGAAGATATACATCACATGTAACTAGACTTAACAAGGGTTTAATTTTAAAGAAATCGTACAGTATGGTTGTTCGCATTAAAATTTGTTCTTCACGGAATCGCCAGTGTAAGTCAAATCAGCATATTGTGGGCTTTTCCCGAGTAAATAATACCCTGCATATTGTATAACAAAGACTTTTCCAACTGTTGAACGTAGTTCTTTCTTTTTAGCATTACTGATCGGTCCAATCTTCCTGTAATGAACCTTAAGATTGACTATAAAGCTGTAATTTTCACAGCTTTATCCGTTATATTCAATTTCACTTTGTCATTCGACATTTCTGTTTTCCAGATTTTCAGAAGTAGTTACAGGTTGTCCTTTCCATCCTTCCAAATTTAAAACTCTTTTTCAATATTCACTGGCGATTCCGCTCGTCTCAGTAAAGGTGGTGTTTAATACTTCCTTTAAGTTACTGGTGTGCTTAAAGAAATCGATTTTATATATACAGCATTTCTTTAAATTTATGTAATAAGTGACAATCAAAACTACATGATATTCTAACCCCAAAAGAAAAGAGAGCAAATTTTAGCCTCCAGTAAAACTCACTTGACAAGCTCTGGGTAAACGCTACCGTGAAGGGCTACAGTCAGTGCATAAATACAGAAAATGAGAAAGAAAACCGATGAAACATTGACCTGACTGAACGTGCAATGAATTTAACAAGCTTTCTTTCGATTCTAGGGTCTCATAAAGTTCAGTTCATTTTCACACTTCCGACGTTCCGCTGGCGTCCAGTTGTAATTCTTTTCTTTCCCGTGCTGAGGTGTGTTCCGTTCCATCAGTCTCCTCGGCTGGCATAACGATTTTTAATGTGTGCTGCTCCGGATTCGGTCCACTGTCGCCACTGGCGACACTCAGGTTGTCATCCTCTGAATCGGAGTCGTTTTCCGACGGCTCGTCGTGGTCGTCCGAGGATTTCTCCGATCGGTCATCGTCGACTTGTGAGGCTGTCTCTTCGAGTCTCTTCTCTTCTCGGTAGTAGATGAGCTTTC